GGATTAGGAATCCCAAAAGCCGCTAATTTGTTTTAAAGTGACGTATGAATTCATTTCATTTCAACGAATAGAAGAATTTGTAGTGTTAAATAGCAAAATAGTTACAATATTGTTTAATTTGAAGTGCATAGTGAAAAAATAAGAGGAAGAGAGAAAAATCTAAAATCTGGATCTTTCAGATTTTCAACATTTTGTTACTTCTATTTATTAAATATCTTAAACCATAAAATTCAGTTCAACAGCAAAATAATTTTTAAATAAACATATCTTTATAATTTTCGATACACAGTCTCACGCGTTGGAGATAAAAATGGCCCCCGGTACATACAGTGTTGCCATTTCTCGCTTTGAAATCGTTGAATTTGTAAATCAAAAATTCGTTAAAGGTGTTACAAAATATTAATTCGATAATAAGCAAAATTCCGAATTAGAGCTCCCACATGCCCATATTCGGTGGAGGATTACGTATTCAGAATTTGACGGCTCTAGGTACCGTTATTTTATCACAATGCGAGAAACTTGCATTGCTTAATTATTTAATTACTTTAAAACGCAGGGCTGTAATATTTGGTGGCAACAATTTGAAATTTGATTCGCCATTTAGTTGTAGTGAAAAAAAAACGCAAAATGGCAAAACGAAATTGTACGCAGTATTAGTAGCATATTACTGTGGGTTAAAGAAAATGGTAATATGCCAAACATAACGAGTGCTTATCGAGAAATTTTGCTAGGTTTTAATCTTATAATTTACAAAATTGTTTGTCCATTGCATGTTAAAGCCGTAACAAATTTTGTTTTCATCTCTTTCGTATAACTTGCATTCGTTCGAACTTGCATTAGAAAAATACCTACCGCTTCTGTAGTATTCCAGAAGAATAATTCATTCTTTAAGAAGAATAAAATGAGTTACTTATGCTACCTTTTTTTGCTGCCCCGGGAATACTGTATTAGTTTTCTTTTTATTGCATAAGCCGAACTTTTATTCTTGAGCTATGCATCAGGTGCTATGATTTTTTTCGCCTTATCGCTTAATATTTTGTGTTGAATATTTTTCTGGGGTTTAGTCTGATGTATTATTTTGTGAGGTAGCAAAAGCACACTTCATCTGAGGGACAGAAGTTCTTAATATTTTTGTATCTCAGAAGCATCAGAATCTCTATTCCTTTCAGAAGTCTACTTTTTTATATTATATATTTTCCTTTCTCTTTCTTTTTTCTGTTATATTCGGCAAGATCCTGCCGAATATAACAGAGATTCGCCAATATTCTTGCCTCTCTATTCATTTATATTGCTGACCAATATGAGTGAAATATTACTGTTTAAAAATAATATTATTAAGTAATACCACGTAATGGATTACAACTATTGTTGCGTTCTATGGGTTTGTGGATTCGGAGTAACTGACGATAACACTTGATGAAAAATTAAACCACAATTTATTCGCTCGTGTTATACAGAACAGCTCAGAGGGCACGGTTACAACCGTGAAAAAACTACGATAAACACACTGAAACAATCAGCAATACAGCCTCAGACGAGAACGCAGAATAAAGCTTCACAGCAAAGCACTAAAGCACAGCTGCCGACTCGGTTCGGACGCTCTGAAGCTAACCCTTAAACTCAGATACTCTCTTTTACGGAGCTCAATATTTCCTAATGAATTCAAGATCCTACACATTCGCGTGCAGGCAGAGTATATATAGCTATTGACCTACCTTCGAACACATTCTCGAGGAAACAGATAAGAATTCATTCCAGAATGTTCTCGCTCCGTCTATGGCATATCGGTAATTTTATCTCCAAATGGGACATTTCACGCCAAATCTGGCAACCTTGCCTTTCTCGGCCACTGTCTGGCAACTCTAATTCCGCTTTTCGGAGAAGCTATCTTACCGCAGCAGGGCATTTCGTAACAACATTATTTCAAACTTACGCTTAGGTCGCGATGCTTTATCGTTTACTAGTATCTATTTAAACAGAAATCATTAGAGAAAACTAAAAGATTTATTAGTTTAATAGCATATTGCCAACAGTTTTTATAAAATTTTTACGACAAGAAAACATTTAGCTTAGTAAGAAGTAAGTCTTTAAAAAGTAACTGCTCCTTTTTCGAGCTTGAAGTGGTGTATTTAATTATGGCAAAGCACACTAGGGCTATCTGCCTAAGGGGAGGGATGCCTTCGTGGAGGACTTTCTAAGGGAAACTGGCTCGTATACACCTAACACATTTTCGAGCTTGAAGAATGTTGCTTTTTATTTTTTTAACAATCTCATAACTTAAATGTAAACTTAGTTTAAATTAGGTTTTCAATAATAGGCGATACGTATTTTCGAAATATTTGGCCCAATGCTTGCATTCAAAAATAATTTCATTTATATCAGATGAATATTATTTCTCGCAAGATTATGGTGACAAAACATATTTACCCAGATTCTAAATATTACGAGAAACGAAAAATACGTGTGCTTTCGAATAAAGTAGCTTCGGCTAGCTACTTTGACTCCTAGGGACATAAAATTGAAATTTTAATGCTTCAGTATGTTTTAAATTAATAAAAACTCTAATAACTATTTATAAATGATTACAGGCCAAGATACATAAAAATAGAACACGCAACAACATAACATATAGAGTTATGCAAATAAACACTCTAGAATACCGTAGATATTGTTACGAAATGTACAAGCGCGGTGAGATAGCTTCCCCGCAAAGCAGGTTTAGGGTTGCCATAAATGGCAAGGAAAGGCAGGGTTGCTACATTTGGTGAGAAATCGCCCATTTTGGCAAAAAAATTGGATATATGGTATGGACGGAGGGAAAACCTTCTGGAATGAATTCTTACCGGTTTAGCCCAAGTCAACCCGTGCGGAGTCGATTGAGTTGACAGACGTGCAGCGAGTGCCGAGTGGGTCGTCGAGTGCATCGAGTGTCTTCGAATATCGCGGTTAGTGCATCGTCGAGATAGCGTGTTGAGCTCTGGGAACGACTGAACCGAAGAGTCGGGAGCTGTGCTCTGTGCGTCGTCGAGTGCATCGCGAGTTATAGCCTGGAGAGTCTCGAGAGTAGGTGGATTTCCGAGAACGACCAAGCAGAGTTGGGAGCTGTACTCTGGTGCTTTGCAGTGAAGCTGTCTCCACCGTTATTGCCTGAGAGTGTGAAGGCTGTGCCGCTGATTGCTCCAGCGTGTTTATAACAGTTCGACGACTGTAAAAGTGATTTTGGAGCTGTCCTGATTAATATTGGTAAATAAAGTGTGTTTCGATACTTCAAGTAGTGTTATCATTATTCACTCCAAATCCTCACGAACCCTATAACGAACGTCCCAAAGGAAGAAAATAATGCAACAACTGGTGTCAGAAGAAAATAACGTAACAATATTACAGAAACCCTACCAATTGTAAATGCAACGATTTAAAGAACAAAATAGTTTTATTTTTGTTTTTTATTGGTAGAACTGATTTTTGCTTGAAGAATAGCAGAGTTTTGTAAAAGTATCTCTTAACATCGACCGCAATTTATCCGAACTCTAACGTTTGTTATTTTATTTAATTTTATATATTAAACTTTATTTTATTGAAGAATGGTTAAATATCTAAAAACGTTCAAAATGTCGATGTATTTTTCCTGAAAGCAATATCAGTATTTAACTCTGCAATTTGCTTAACCCAGGTTTTAAAATTTCCCCCCTTTTTTAATTATTGACTTTCACTGAGTTGTAAATTTATATCTCTACATTTAAATTTAATTCTGTCATCTATGTGGCAAGGTAAAATAGAGTGAACCAATATTTTGCATGTAAATGATACTGATATTAGTTATAGATCATGTTATTTATAAATGGATTCTGAAAATCTCTGTTAAGAGTTTCAGTTTTGAAGTGAAAGTTAAGAAATACGTTTGCAATAAAAATATGTTGGCATGACTCGTATAATAACTTGCATTTAAAAAAAATGCATATGGTAGAGTAAAATATACTGGTAAAAATCGAAATTTACCCGGTACTGATTTCGAATGCAAATCATACCCATGCAATTAATTTCCATGCGTATTAAACATATTCATTTACATAAACTTTCGTTTTAACTATTTGAACAGCAAATGATTTTGGTAGATACTGGTTGTTCTCTTAATACAACTGATATTTAGCTGCATATATTGAATAAAAAATAGAAGATTTAAAGCTCATCATCATCGCCTTCATTTGTAATTGAGCTGTAATTAATCAAACAGGATCTGAAATATCTAACACAAAAGAGAAAAACTGCAGAATTCAAATTCTTGAAGACATATGAAATTTCAGGAAAATTAAATAATATCTGCAACATCAAGTAAGCTCGCCATCATAAATTTTGATTCAAATGTATATCGAGTACAACGACTTATTTTCCTTTTCAACAATAAAAGGCATTAATTATTTCTTACGTATTATATTGTTAATAATATTCTTGTAATTTTAAATTGATTTACATGCAGAGCATCTGTGAAATTAAAAGTTATCAAAACTAAAATCATCCAGACTTTTCACTGCTTTTTCGAGAGAGTATAAAATGCTGAAAGATATTGAAATATAATCAGTATGTCGTTTTCATGTCTTGAACACTTCCAAAATGCATGACTTTTGAAAGAAAGTAAACCTTTCTGAAACAGCTACAAACACGTCTTAGCATATGAGAAAAAATCCATGCTATTACCATCTGACAAGAAAATTAATCCGTTGACCAAATATTGTTGTAGAAGTCTAAAAACAAAAAAAAAATGTGTCGGTACCACGCGTTGGAAGATAGATCAGAAGAACAAAAAAGCCTGTATGTTCCTGAAATCTAAATGAGAGTCCAGTTTGTGCTCCGAACCCTCCAGTTTTATGTCTCTTTTGAAAATGATGTAAAACAGAACTTTCATTTGAACCTCTCAACAAATGCTTGTGTTAATTCAAATGCATTATGATTTCTTTGACATACATATGCAACTTGAAAGCGACAATAAAAGCAAATATACTTACTTTAAACAGTATACTTATTTCGTTTTGTACTAAAAATATGTACTAAAAATAATCGCACCTTGCAGCCTGGAAAGTCTGGCTTCTTAAATTCTTTAGTATACTATACACAGCTTGACGAAGATATGAAAAAAATGTATAATATTAATTATCAACACGTATCAGATAGAATCATTACATTTTGTAAAACTAAAGTTGAATTTTCCCCCTTCGAGAGATTTTTTTTTAATTACAAAACAGTTACAAAACACCTCGTGTTTCACGAAGTATACCACGAGGCTTACAGATTGTAAGTAAATAACTCACAAACAAGGAATTCAACAATAAAAACAAAATGTAGGAGAAAGCAAAGAATCAAAATATAAAATGAAAATGCTGTTATAATAAAAGTACTAAAATACACCATGAATAATTAAACTATGTTATTACTAATATCAAAGAAAATAAACAAACTTAAAATAATACAATAAAAAAATCTGAAAGGTTTCAGATTTTAAATTACGTCCAAAGGGGCGTTTTTTTAACGCTTCGCGTGTTACCTTTAACTATCATGTTCTTTGCAATTAAACCATAAAATTCAGTTCAGTAGCAATGTCGCAAAATAATTTTAAAATGAGCCTATCTTTAGAATTTCCGATACACATTTCCGCGCCCACTGAAGATAAAAAGGATTTTTCCCCTACGTAGAGTGCTCCCATTGCTCGCTTCTAAATCTTTGAGTTTGCTACTCAAAAATTCATTAAAAGTTTTACAAAATATGAAATCGATAATAAAAGAAATTCCAAATTTCAAATTTGCGCTTCCACTTGCCCATATTTGTAGGAGGATTACGTCATTCAAATTCGATGGCTCTATGTACCGTTGTGTTACCACAATGCAAGAAATAGACATACATTTATGCAGATTTTTCAGTACTTAATTACTTCAAATATAATGCAGGACTCTAACATTGGGTGGCAACAGTTTGAAAGGTGAAACGGACATTTACAGTGATTCAACGCAAAATCGCGAAACGAAAACTATAGTCCTTCAGGGACAATGCCCCTTTGAAGTAATAAAAGTACTAAAATGCACCATGAATAATTTAAATATGCTATTACTTCTATCAAATAAAATAATACAATAATAATAAAAATGAAATAATACTTAAAAATAATACTGATACAAAGAAAAATAATACATCAACAATACAAATTATCAATACATAACGAATCTTACATAAAAAATACGCAAAATAATACAATGACACATGAAAGATAAAAAATCCAATCATATAAAATAATAATAATACTAAACGTTCAAAGGAGAAATAAAGTTGCGCATGACTGAATAGCTTGAAACTACTAACAAAATCATAGAAAACAGGAGGCTAGGAAATAAAAAGCTGCCCTAAACTCAATTTAAATGAATATCTGGCAACCTGCAATGCATAAAATGTGTTCCACACCTTCCACAGCATTGCCGCAAGCATAGAGCTGCTAGTAACAGTATTGAAACCGAGTAAGTTCCAAGATTCCCTTGGCCGGTCAAAATCTGAGTAAGTTTATAACTCGGTTGAAAATTCCTATAATTAAATCGTTGAAGAACACTTGAGAAAAATTGTTGAAACGAGATATTCAGCATTCCTAGTCAATCACAGTTTTCTACTAAGCCACATGCTTACAATAAAACTTAAGAGCACACAACATTAAATCAGTATCACGGTAAGTCCCTTGCTTAGGCAAATGGTCTGTCCTCTCATTACCGAGAATACCACTGTGGTCGCGAACGCAGGCAAAATGAATATCTTCAGTTTGTCCAATCGCGTATAACATGATATAATATTCGAAAGATTTAGATATATATTTTTTAATCGCGGGCGCTAACCATTTTAAGCTTTCGCCGCTACTAAGGCCAGAAGCAGTGGTCATTTTATTATGGAGGCACCTAATACGTGGCCACCGTTACTTTTTATCGTATCGCAGTCGGCTCTCCTAACCACTACTGGGTGGCAGATTTAGATATTGTTACGTACGGATTCAAATGAATCGAATGCACACAGAATTGATGCCAGTTTGATAAAATTTATTTTCGCAAAGAAAACATTTTAAAGTTCTGAATCTTTTCACAAAAGCACTCTGCAGAAGAAAGAGCACAATCAATAGTTACCATTTCAATGTACTAAGAATGTAAAACATAAGTCACACAAACAACAATATAAAAGTCTCAAAAGCATAAGCTTGCCCAGTGATCTCTTATTTGTCTGAATACTGTAAGTACTATGTACTAAATAAAATTAACTCTGTCTGTGGTCTGATACAGTTTTCCACCTTAATCAAAGAACTTTCCAGTATATTTGATTTCTTGAAATTGTTGGAGGGCATACACAGCTACTACAGGCCAGGTATAGTTATATTTACACAGGAATGCGACCAATTGCAGTTACATAGGTATAGGGTAAAATGGTCACCATTTTCGGCGACTTTTGGTGATTTCTCACCAAATTTGTCAATACCCAAATCACCAAATTTTCACCAATTAGTCGCCAAAACCACTGCCAGCTTGGTGTTAACTTGTCCATTTGGACAGAGAGCCATTTGCCTCATTGTCAAATAGATCTATTGCTGCATCCTTGTAAGAGATACTACACTTTACATATAATTTCATTAAAATTATTTACACATGTATAAAACTCGTAACAATATTTTTCTGCTTTTTTTTTTTTTTTTTTTTTTTTTCTGTCAGTTCCATTTATGTAAGATTAGAGAGACAAATACGCGCTTTCGTAGCTGGTATCTGTAACCAGCTTTATTTAGTTTTGACAGAATATTCAACATCTAAGTTAATACTGTTTACAGTTGGCTGTGAGAGAGCTAATCGGCACTTACAGTCGCTTTACGAATTCAGAAAAGAGTAATCGTTCTTCGCCGAATACAGTTTACTGATTTGCTGTTTTATTTATACTTCTGTTTGGAGAAAATTCTCCGTCGTCATATAGTTTGAAGAATTCAGTTATCCGGATCATATTTCTTACATATAAACCATGATGAGTGTATAAATATCTAAGTGAAGTGACAATTCATAGAAAAATGTGTAATGTATTAGTGAATAAGGAATTCAGGCGAATATATGTAACTGACAAATAAATACACAGAAAAGTAACAAGAAGAAAGAATTTGATATTGTGTTTACTTAAAGCGATTTCCTTTCCATGTTTCTGATACTTATATACTGTCTCAGTCAGATCCATATGTCATCTCATATTTGTCCGTTGATTTATTCTCAGATTGAGTCGGAACAGGAATTTTTTTCATGGAGATATAAGTTTGAATGGAAGAAATCCCTAGGTAGGTTGTATTTATCTTGCTCCTGTTCATTCTCATATAAAATTTATTATAAACCTCGAGCATTATAGTTATATTAATAAAGATAATTCTGAAGGCAAAAGCATACTTCAAGATTAATATAAAAATATCTTACAAATAATATTCGGTCAAAGCTATATATAAAATGAGTTAAAGTGTTTCTAAAATACTTTTATCGTGTTTAAGTTGTTGTAAATCATCAAATTGTTATTTCAGTTCTTTTTTATATTTTACCTGGTCGCATTAATTCTAAAAAAAATAATGTTTTTTATTGGTGCAGAGTAGCAAGAGGTTTATTGCGAAAAAAATAATTTTAAGTCTAGTATTTGGTTAGACTTTGTGGAAGTGCATTATGCAAAAATATTGCATCTTAAAATACTTTATGTTCATATGTTTTTTTTAATCTATCTTATTTTACTTAACGAAAAATATGATAACGTGGAAAGTGTCTAAAATATTGTAATTTACTTTGCGAATTCAAATAGTTTTGTTTTCATAGTTTTCAAGAATTTCCTTAATCCAGTGCTTATCTGATTTTAAATTTAATTCCTTAATTTCTTATTTTCTTACTTCAGACCATATTATGAAAGTGCCACTTGCTTTTTTATAACTTCTAATGGAAGTATTATCTATGAATACTTAAGTTCACGAATCAAACGCTATCTTAGAACTGAAGAAGTAATATAGTGGCTCAGAGCAGCATTTTATCCTGTTTCAGCAATTGTGGAATCACTAAATAAAATTTAATTACATTTAATATAGATCTAGTTAAACATAAATAATTATGCTTTTAAAACTCTTCGATGTCTTACTAAAGCAACGGAATATAGCACAAAATGAAAATAAATTTTAAATTTATTTGATCATAGTCAAAATTAGCGTGAAAGAAAACACTCCTAAATAGCTAATGAAACTAAACTAAAACACATATGTATGTAAGATCCATATATACGGCCATAAATAGTATAAATCTTCCTCTTGTGTGAAGTAATAACTTTAAAAGCTTTGAAGGAGAGACTTTGACGCATTCTCGTTTCATTCTGCCTTGCCAAGCTTTTCAGATTTGCTGCGCTCAGACTAAAACCAAGCTACGATGTATCTCCCATTTATGGAGATAGATATGTCTTGTCTCTTATTGAGCGGATTGTTTGCAAAGCGACATGTAAGCTGACTGAAAAGCTGCTAAAGTTTCAAGGCTTTGAAATCTAAAAATATTTGCATCGAACGAAAGCTGTTTAACCGTCATAACACTCTTGAATATTTATAAACATATATAGCTCAAACCCTGCAGCTGAATTGCTGGATTTTGGGAGTAAAAGCGAGGAAGTGGAAAGGATTACATATGGAGGGAAAGGAAAATACTTTTAAAGTATAAGATCTCCGTCGTGATAACTTACAGTTTTAGTGGTATGAAACCTTGCTTGATTTCTTGGAAGTATTTTCTTTTTGTAGGACCAATCTCTGATTCCTAGACACAGTTTTAGAAGGAATAAAATGCTCTATTAGCGCAGTGACGCGGATTGCTGGGTTCTCTTTGTGGATATCCTTAAATTAAATTTTGAGAAGAATTAAAAATGATCTCTGCAAAGCAAAAAGGAAAAAGTTTAAATCTGAATAAATTTTTTATATGTTTCAGATTCGAAGGAGCTGCTATCTACATCTGTTAGGAAAGGAAGTGCAGCATTTTGTTTCAGATCGTGAATTTCGGTTAAATGCGGTTCGGTATTTATGTAATTCATATAAAT